GCCCCGCCGCTCGTCCCGACCTTCCCGGGCGGCCCCCGCCCCACCCTAGCGGCCTTACTCTCCCGGCCCGCCGCAGTAGCAGTAGCATTGCTGCTGGTTGGTGCGGTGGGGCGAGTCCCACTCGAGCTCCTCGGGCTGGTAGGACAGAACCATCTTTACCGCCTGCAGCGTCCTGGCGATGGCTCCCTTCTTCAGCGCGCCGCCCTTCTGCGGGAGATGAGGGGGTCCCCGTTGGGCCACAAGGGAAATGCCCACTAGGGGGACCCGTAGATTCTCCAGTGTAGTCAGACGCAAGGAGCTTTTTCTCCTCAATCCCAAATCCATCCTCTATCCCAGAAGAATCTCCATTAATAAGCATAACGTAATAAGCATAACGGTAAAGGTAACGACAATAACCAATGGCTGTGGGCACATGTATGTATTCCTTTTTTAATATTAAGGCTCCACTTATCGGGAGCCTCCTACTCCTGACACCAAACCGTATCGCTTTTACTGTTGAGGAAACAGAGAGGCTAAGGTACCTGGCCAAGGACATACAGCTAGTAAGTGACAGCTGCGCTCTCTGCCGCCAAAGGCCCGGCGCTGTGACTGGGAGTCAAGCCTGAGCCCAGGGAGTCTGGGGGGGAGGGAGGAAGAGGCAGGGACTGAAAGGATGGGGGCTCACCCGCACAGCCAGCGCGAAGATGCAGCGTCGGCAAAACCAAGGTGTGAGCAGGGGCCGGTCGGCACTGGCTGCTATGGGGATGTGGCACTGCTGGTGGTAACCTAGGCAGAGGAGGGGTGGTGGGTGCCCACAAGGAAGCAATGGCCCGAAGGTGGCAGGGCTGGGGAGAGCAGCAACAAGTCCTAGGAGCTGTGTGCCTGTCCGCTGCCAGGGGACTGCCTGGCCAGTCTCACCAAGGCAGCGGAGCTGGTGTCCAAGCATGCTAGTAAAAGACAGCCTGGGCCCCAGTGGGGGAGGCACCAAGGTCTGGCTTCAGCCTCTATGCCCCATCTCTCCCACTCATCCTCTCCACCCGAGAGGGCTCCAAACTGCATAACTTGTCTCACTTTCCAGAAGCCCTAGCTCTCCCCAAGGGTCACCTCCCTGGGCCCTCACTCCCAGAGACTGGCCCCTGTCACTCTGGAGCGCCAAGAGAAACAGGAAGCCAGCTAAGGACCCAACAGTCTGAGGCAGTACCTGCCAGGGGCCAGTGGGGCGATGCGGACCCTTCTCAGTGCCCTGCCCCATCACACTTACCCAGGCCACACTTCCCACAGATGAGAATCTCATTCAGTGGCCCTGATGTCTTCCCCAGGCATATGTTACACTTGGGTTCCTCCCCTGGAACACCAGCTGAAAGAGAGAGGCCCTCTGAGGTCAGATCTGGCTGATAGGAATAAGAATTTTTAAAATCACATTCCAGGTCCTGAGCCTCTGCATGCTGGGCCTAGCACTGGGCCCCATATGCCCACTCACTGACTCTCCCCAACCACGCCGGGGTGCCTACTGTCATTACCTCATTCTAAGGATGGGGAAATTGAGGCTCAGAGAGGTTAAGTCCTTTGCTGAGCAATAAGCAGCTGAGGTGGCATTCAGACGCATGGCTGTTTGACATCAAATCCTTTGTTCTTTTGACCGTATCATGCCTCTCCTGCCTAATTTAACTTGATTTGTTAAAATTTATGTTAAATAACTTTGAAAATTTTATTACAGAATAATAATAGAATGTTATAATGAAACTCTTACGTTCATATCAACTATTATGAAATCATGGCCAATCTTGTTTTAACAATATCCTACCCACTTCCCCCTCCTGTGTTATTTTGAATCAAATCTCAGATGCCCATAAACATTTCAGTATGTATCTCTGAAAGATTAAGACTCTTTTTTAAAAGTAACTGCATTACCTTTATTACATCTAAACATTAAAAATAATTTCTTAATATCAACAAATTCAGTTAGTATTCACATTTCCGAACGTCTGAAATAAAAATATCGGAACAATTTTTTAATTGCTTTTAAACTACAGGTCCTTTCTCCCATCTTTTTTTCTTTCCAGTTTTTTGTTGTTGTTGAAGAATAAATGTGTTTATGTGTGAAAGGTCTGACTGAATAACCTAAACACATGTTGGTGTGTGTTTCTGTCCTATTTCCCCTAGCAGACTGAATGTCTGTAAAAGTGGAAGTGGTGTCTGTTCATCAGTGTGACCCCAGGACCTCATATAGTGTATGACACAGAACACATGTTCAAGACACGTTTGAGTAAATGCTCTCTTGCTTCTTATTCCTGAATTAGCCCCCAGGAGGGTGTTGCCCACGGTGGGTTTCATAAGCCCTCACTGGCTTAATGAGTGATGGATCGATACCTATGATGTGCTCAGCCTTGTGCTCTCACCCTCAGAGATGCCAGAGGCGCTGCCATCCTGCCTGTGAAGAGCAGTTATCTGACTGCAGAGCCAACCTAGTCCCAGGTGAGCACTCAGCACCGCCATGGTGCCTGGCACACAGTGGGCCTTTTACTCAAGGTCTGCTAAAGTGACTACCTTTCCTCACCAGCGGGCTCCTTATGCCTTCAGTAAGAGGGTAACCAGGAGAGAAGATCCTCATTGTTTCTGAACTTTATATAATAAATTGAGGTGAGAAGGGCTTGGAGAAGAGATCTGTCTGCATTAGCCACAACATCTTGAAGAAAAAGGCAATTCGGAAGCTCGACTAACTGGCTGGGTTCTGTGGCCTCTACTTGGCAGGCTCCTTGAAATCATTTCTTACAATAACAAATTTTTTAGAAACTACCCCATGTAACTCAAGAGCACTGGACTAAGCATTTTGCATAAATTATCTCGTTTAACCACTCTGTGAGGCCATTACTTTCCTTTTCTCCTTTTTTTTCAGATTAAGAGACTGAGGGTCAGAGAGGTTATGTCACTTGTCCAAGAATATGCAGCTAGTAAGTGGCAGAGCTAGAACTTGGTCCAAGAACTATCTGACCCTAAAACCTGCCTTGTCTCCCAATACCACCACATCTATTCTCCTGTTAGAGCATAAATGGCAACAGGTTTCTTCTCTCAGGATAACTCTGACTGATGGTCGTGGCAGCTGGGAGCTCCATGTTGAAAACATATGAGTGTTGTAACTGATTAGTGATGTCTGTCGTGTACATAGGAAAGGAGAATTGTGGTAAGAATGCCCCCGATTTGCCTTCTCTGTAAGATAGTGCCAGCCTCTGAGGGCAGGGATGGTACCCAGTCCAGCTCCCTTTCATTCCCGAAAGCTGGTCCAGCTCCATCAGGCATGTCATGTCCATCTTCACCTGGCCTGGCCCATCTCTGCTTTCTTGGTCTTCCCCCCATGGACAGAGCTGCCTCCACTAGTGTTTCTTCACATGTTGACAGAGGACACTGTGCTCATATCCAGAGGATCAATTCTGATTGTCTGGGCCTCTCCTTGTTCCTAGCCCAGAGTAACCCAGAGCTTTGTGCAGCATAAGATGAAGTGCAGCAAGGACGTAAACACAGGCCTCGGACCCACCCTGCTCTCCCAGCACCTCCTGAGCCACTTTCTCCATCTGCCTGCCTCCCTCATGAACTATGGGTACTCAAGGGGTTGACGGATGTCAGAAGTGCCTTTCCACGTAAATACACAGCGGGTAATCTGATCAGCATCTCAGGTAGGCTTGGGGGTCCATGGACAAGGCCAGATGTCAGGAATAAGAGCTAGGGGAAAAAAATAGAGGTGCAGGAGAAAGGACAGGGGATGGGACAGAGGTGCCTGAAATCTTAGGAATACTCACCATGCTGTATGTCCTTCCACAAGACCCAGTATTTGGAATTATCTTCAAAAGTCACAAGGCAGCTTTGCTTTGAGCTGCTGACCTGGGGCACAGAGAGGGAGGAGCAATGTGAGAAAGTTCCATGGCTGGGGAAAGGCCATGGAACATGGTCTTCCTCTTCCATTTTTATCCCTGTAGGGCGCAGGGATTGATTAGACCCCCTCCTTGTGTTCCAGAAGTACACCCAGGCCAGAATGGCAGTTCCTGGAGGTAGTGCACACCCGATCACTGGAATTGTACAGAGAATGGGGGACAGCAACTTGGTGGGAATGTTGAGGACAGAACAGGCCAGGTGGTCATCTGTGAGCTCCTCCAGCCTGATTCCGTTTTGTTTTGTAGGCTTGCAGAGCACTCTTCTAAAGAACTGTTTGTTGGGTGACCTTGACTCTAAGGATGGCACCTGCAAAATCTCCTTCCACATTTAGCTTTTAAATATGAGAGTCAAGAAGGAAATTTCCCAGCAATCCCTCATCCTCTATCACCAGTCTAAAGCCTAGGCCAGAGAATGAGTGGAGAGATACCGAGCCTGGGAACACGGGGCTGGAGAGGAAAGATTTACCCTCTTGATCTTTCCGAGGTAATACAGTCCATCTGTCCAGCGGCAAAGCACATACTGGCCCTCTGTCAGCTTGGACATCAGGTCTTTGAAGTTGTTCTTGGCTTTTGCCAGGGCCCCCTTGTTGGGGAGGTGGCTGGTGGCACCATAGGAGTCCCGAGTCCCTGGGTCCAGAGCTCGATTCTCCATCAGCTTCCACTGACACTGAAGAGAAAGAGAACTGGCTTTTTATTCCTTGCTCCAGGGGCAGGGGAAGGAAGAGAGCTGCCATTTATGTAACCTGTGCTATGTGCCAGAGGCATTTATTTTCTGACTGGATCCTCATGACAACCCTCTGAGGGAGACGTTATTATTTCCATTTTACAGACAGGGAAACCGAAGTTCGGCAAAAGGAAGTGGCTAGGGGGTCCGAGGCAGAGCCATGGTTCATAATCAGGTGAGCTGATTCTAAGTCCTGCTCTCTTACTCACCCATACCATACTGCCTTCTACAGAGAATGAATCTTGCAGCCAACCACAGAGCAAAGTCTGCCGCCCCAAAGGCCTGAACCACACTCCCAGGCTTAGAAGCCTGAGGCTTTATCCCTCAAGCAACTCCTCTGAGTGGAGAGCCTTCTCCAGGGGAGCAGCAAGAAATCTCCACCCTTACCCTGAGAGCTGGCAGAGAAAACTCACCCAGAAAGGAAAACTCCTGGGTGAACTGGTACAGACTTGGCCATCTGTGTCTTCTGTAATCCCCTTTTCTGTTCTCAATTATGAGATGATTTAATGGAAACCAATGCTGGGACATTTAAATTCACTTATGCTTTTACTCAGATGCCAATGTGCTCCTAGCAGTTGACACCCCAATGCTATCCTCTCCAAGCCTGTCTCTCACAAGCCTAAAAACTGCACTGCCACCCCCACTGCTTTCACTCTTCCTGCTAATAGTACTACTAGGATCCCCAGAATCCCCTAGCATCTTAGACTTCTCTAACCAGTGAGTTGCCACAGCTGGCCAACTTAAAGCGCAGTGACTTTTGGCATCCTGCTGTCTTTTCCATTCCTGTCCTGGTTTGACTTAGGGCCTCACCGTGCCTGGGCCATTCAGTCATTCAATAACTACTTCCTGGTGCTCACCTGGCCTGTGCTCACCTATGCTGGGCACCTGGGATGGATAATAGTTCCATCAGCACCCAGTGCTAAATGGACCACTTCTTGCTTTTCTGCCTCCCCACCAGACTCTTCCACAAGGCCACAGATTCCTATCTTTTTATTCTTTTTTTTTTTCCCAGAAATCTTCTGTGGCTCCCCAAAGCCATTAATGACATTCAAAGCCCTCCCCAAAGTCCCTTCTTCCCTCTCGGGGCTCACCTGGCTCCATGCCCCTCCCTACACTCTACGCTAAGCCAAACACTGCCTTCCTCTGTTCCCTGCACCCGCTCCCCTGGGTCCCTCCCTCTCTGCCATGGCTCTGGGCACCTGGTGAGATGATTATCTGTAGACAGGGAGAGAGTCCTGGGCCTTTTCCGCGTGAGTGCATGCGTACTCCTGTGAGGCTGTGTGTGATGTCCGCGACAGTATGTCAGTGAGCATGTGAAGCTAAATACATGGGTGTGAATGTCAGGGGCCTGGGGCAGGCAGGGCACTACTGGATCGTGGCTCACGAGCCCACGGCGCGGCTGCCCCTGTCCCTGTCCCCATTCCTCTCTTTTCCCCAGGCCAGAGTACACAGGCACTGAACTGAGAAGAGTACGCACTCCGAACCCCTGCCTTCTCTCTGCCACCTGGCTCCCCCCGCGCTGCGAGGTCCCCCCCC